GTATTTCCATCCTATAGAAGGCTTAACTTGTTTGATTTCTGTCTGCCATACAGCTCTTAAAGGCACAAACCCTGGTTCCCCCCAATGCCGACTCTGAACCAGAGTCCAGGTTGCCACATCAAGCACAGTTTTACTATTTAGCAGACACTGTACTGTAAGTTAACTATACAGTGAATTTTTAGTGAGAACTTTGCCCTTAACTGCTGCACAGCTGGAGACTTACTTTAGCTTCGTTGCAAAATGTTCACATTTGGCTTTTGGGGAGAGGGGGAATCTTTAACATACACTTACATTTACTGAGTAGAAGAAGTTGCAGAAAATAACTTCTAGGGAGTACCTGATCTTAGACAAACCCACCTTGGGGGAATGCATCTTGGTTGCTAGGGGAAATGATGGAAGGACAAACTACAGAGATGCCTAAAATAATTGTGATTTTTAAAACCTAGGGAGATGCTGATTCAGCTTATTCTGTAAGTTTGATATGCCAAGTTATTGACAAGCCTCTTGGCAGAATGCTTGCATAGAAGGGCTGCCAAATATACTGATGGGAGGGATGTCAAAATTAAGCATATTGAGGCTCCTATATGCAAAACATTGAATCTGATGTACTATGTAATAATAATGATAATAATAATTCCTTATCTTACTCTTTCATTAAATGTCTCAAAAACAATAAAGCCAGTTTTAGAGTAAACAATATCAGACTCTTCCAGTCTGGAGTGGGGCACCAAACACTGTTGTTCCTTATCTCCTCTTCTACAAGCCTCCTCCACAGAACCTTTGGCCCATATAATAGATAATAACCCAATCAAAGGTATTTCTTTTCATGGTCAATAATATAAGTGTGGACTTTTTGCAGACAATACAATCTTTTCCCTATCAATGCCTGAACACTCACTACCTGAGACAGTTAGATTGACTAATGAATATGGGATTATTGCAAGACTGGATATTAACTACAGAAAGTCTGAACAATTATGTTTTGCACTTTCAGAAGCAGAACAAAAACTAGTAAAGGACTGGACAGCTGCCAGTAATAAACAAAATAATAAGATACAGTACCTGGGAGTAAGCATATTTAAAAATCTAAATAAACTTTTTAGAACTTAATTCTGTCGCACTTATGAAGAAAATTAAAAATTATCTAGAAAATTGTAAAAATATATAATTGACATGTCTGAGCAGAATAGCAGTATAAACTCTTATTTTATTAATCGGGTGGAATATAGATTAAATGCAAAAATAATGTACCAATTTGTTTTGTATAATCAGGGTTGTTAAAGTGCTTAATAACATTGCAGTTGATGTTATATCCTTCCTTGTACAGCACCTGATCCTTTCTGTTGGTGTGTTATGAACTTCTACCAAAAGAGATCCTACCCACCATAGAACAAACCGCAGTTTGCAGCCAGCATAAATCTAATTAAATTGCCATCTCCATCACTCTCTTGAAACCAAAGCCAAGTGAAATGCAAATGTGGAATCATTTTCAAGCAGATGCAACTAAGCTTTTAACCCTCTAACATGGCAAGATGGAGATTTTAAATTAGACCAAAGTGTGTGTTACTGTAGGTTTCAAAAATCAAAGTAAAGTTATGAGTTTAATAAATGGGTTATATTGCCTTGAACCTTGCTAGAGCAGTAGGTTACAAAGAGACTCCGTTTTTCTACAAAGCCGTTATCAGGCTGTCTGTCTTCTGGGGTTCTCACCATATTTGCAAGCTTTACCAGACAAACTGCAGTTTTTCTGGCTCCGTTAGGGAACAGTCTGACACTAATTGCCCATTTAGGGTTGTGACTTCTAGTGGGCACCAGTTTCCCAGGCTCTCAAGAGAGAAGTGTTTGTGGCACCTGCCACTCGATCATTTTGGCTGTAGGTGCCAGAGACAGGACATGGGACGTTCTGCATGATGAGCATGTGTTGAAATATTCCACTCACAGGCTATGGAAAGTCCTCGGAGTTTTTTAAATGCTGGGTCCCTCCCAGATCACACTCTTTAAAGCAGCTCCAGACATTGTAACTGATGGAGTAGATACAAGCTTGGCGGATCATAGTGTATGTTGATTTCAGTCAGGCTTTTGACAAAGTTCCCCACAATATTATTGCGAGAAAGCTGATAAAATGTGGGTTAAACAAGGTAACTGTTAGGTAGATTTGTAGCTGGTTGACTGACTGAACCCAAAGGGTGGTCACTATAAAAAGTGACCAGTGGGGTGCTGCAGGGTTCTGTCATGTTGTTTAATGGCTTCATAAACAACTTGGATGAAGAAATTGAGGGGATGCTCATACAATTTGCTGATGACACCAAACTGGGAGGGATAGCTAATGCCGCAGAAGACAGAATCAGGAATCAATATGGACTTTAACAGACTGAAGAACTGGGCACAAGCTAACAAAATGAATTTCAATAGGGATAAATGTAAGGTTCTTCTCTGAGGTAGGAAGAAGCAGATGCACGAATATAGGATGGGGAACACCTTGCTTACTAGCAGTACATGTGAAAAGGATCTAGGGACCTTGGTGGACCACAAGCTTAACATGAGTCAACAGTGTGATGCAGCAGCAAAAAAAAAGCTAATGCTATTCTAGGTTGCATCAACAGAAGTCTAGTGTCCAGATCAAGGGAAGTCATAGTACCACTCTATTCTGCCTTAGTCAGACCACACTTGGAATACTGTGTCCAAGTCTGGGCACCACAATTTAAGATGGATGTTAACAAGCTGCAACATGTGCAGAGAAGGGCAACTAGGGTCTGAAAACCAAGCCTTATGAGGAACGGTTGAAGGAGCTGGATATGTTTAGCTTGGAAAAGAGGAGACTGAGAGGAGATATGATAGCCATCTTCCAATATCTTAAGGGCTGTCACATGAAAGATGGAACAAGGTTGTTTTCTCTTGCTTGAACCAATGGCTTCAAGTTACAAGAAAGGAGATTCCAACTAAACATCAGGAAGAACTTTCTGACAGTAAGAGCTGTTGGACAGTGGAACGGTCTCCCTCGGGAGGTTGTGGACTGCCCTGCCTTGGAGGTTTTTAAGTAGAGGTTGAATGGTCATCTGTCGGGGATGCTTTAGCGGAGATTCCCACATTGTAGGGGGTTGGACTAGATAGCCCTTGGGATCCCTTCCAACTCTACAATTTTATGAAGGTGCTCAAGTTTGGGGCTATTATTGCTACAGTGAGGGGAAAATTCTGGATGAAATCTCTCTCTACCCCCACCTCCACATACAAACAAACATGCTAGTCCTGAGCAGGTGTACTGTTCTCTATTAGAAGCTGGAAATAAACTGCAACATTTTATTGCAGGAACACAATTATTGCGTTATCTATCAGCAGAGCACCAAAGCAGGACCACATGGAGAGAAGAGTCCCTCGAGGGCTTCCTGAGTATGATTCTGTAAACAAACAAATAAGAGCCCAATAAGTACTCAACATGCTCAATGTTCTCCAAGGGGGGGGCAGTAGGAGGGCACACAATGGTCTGCTTGAGCCCCTGGTAACTTGCAATATCCTGGAGGGTTTGTGTGGAGTTGTGGCTGGGGAATGTGCAGGGTGAGAAATGGAGTTCCCTGCCCTAATTCCCACCAGTCCAAAATGTAATGAACTTTTAAGGGCCTGACCTCTTTGAAGCTGAGCCAAGAGCTGTGCAATATATACATACAGTTAACAGTCAACTCCTGGTGGGGTGATGAATTAGGAGCAGAGGGGAAATGCTCCAAATTCTCTTTTAGCCCCTGGCAATATTTCTGTTGTCTAGGAGGAAAGATGAAAGCAGGGCCAGAGATCCATGTCATGAGACTCTCCCACAAATATAATCTCCTTCACATTGTATCCATTCTAGTTCCAGACCACATAGGCAGCATCCTGCCAGGGGCGGAACTATGTGCCCTGGCACCCAGAGCAGGGCGGGGGCGGGGCTAGCCACCCGCACGGCAAGCATCCCTATCTGCCTGCCAGGGGAAGCCCTGCCAGCTGCCAGCGCAGCAAGCGGGGAGTGGGGGTGCAGCAATGTCACCCGCCCTCACGGCTGACACCCGGTGCGCACTGCACCCCCCGCATCCGCCTTCCTCCGCCAGTGCATCCTGCTCACTTAGCTTCACAACTTGACACTGGGAGCTCATCCATTTGGGCTACAAGGAGCAGTGGCGTAGCGGGGGGGTGCGGGGGGGCCGGCCGCACCGGGCGCAACATCTGGGGGGGTGCGCTCGCACTCGCAGCTCTCTGCCCCTACTAAAATCCACGGGTTAGGGGGCGCAAATTACTTGCCTTGCCCCTGGTGCTGACAACCCACGCTACGCCACTGATAAGAAGTGATTTCACAGCAGTTCACCCAGAGGCACCACACACACAATTTCTCACAGGCCTCTAACTTGTTCCTTCTAATCTCAGCCTTGGTGGTTTTATGCCTATTGACAAGACAATTGTATCGTCACACCTGGAGAACCCCCTAAGCATGCTCAAAAATAGGTGCTTGTAAATTTGAAAGGACTCAGCCCACCTCACCCCAGCAAACTTAAGGAGGAGATATGGGATGCTGAGGGTGTAGAAAAAAGAAAACAGGTTATGGGGAAAACAGCTTGATGAAGTCCCTGATAGAAATAAATTAATTTGGAAATGATTAGGGTTCGAGAGATGCAAGTCGAGTTTAGCATCTCCCCTCCTCGTGTGAAACGGAGAGGTGGAGGAAGGTGTCTCCTGGGTGGAATCTATATACATAGGAAAAAAGCTCGTCTTCTGGTGAGGCATCATGGCAGACGCCAGGGCAGTGAGCAGCTCCTGAAGCCAGCCGGAACCAAGTGGGCTACCTGGCTGGCTCCCGGGCTGCAGGGCCTGCTGCTGCTGACAGGGAACCGGGGGCGCCCGGTGTGCCAACCGAGGGAGCTGCCAAACCCTCCCCGCAGGCCGAGCCGGGAACGAAAGTGAGGACACCCAGCCAGCCACCCGGCCGACTGTCCAGCGACACCCTGGCACCAAGAAGAGCCCGAAGCCGGCGCAGGCGAGAAGAGGAGAGAGGAGAGAGAAACAGTGGGCAAAGAAAGACACGGAGCCCCGACCTTGCTGCTGCTGCTGCTGCTGTCCCCAACGCCGCCACTGAGAAGGGAAAGGAGGAGAGGTAGGAAAGAGCACCGGGAGGGCAAGGGGAGCCGTGAAAAGACACGCGGCTGAGCCCGACCGAGCCCCCCCCCCCCCCCCCCGCGGCTAGTGCGCCAAAAGCAGGCAGAGGAAGCAAGAGGAAGGCCGCACAACTCCCCAGCGCCGGGGGAAGAGGAGGAGAGGGACGCCCGGCCACCCGGACGGCTAGTGCACCAGAAGCAGGCTGAACCCAGAGGGAAACCTGCTGGGAAAAGACCTCACCTTTTTCTATTTTTTATTCTTTATTTCCTTTTTTATACTATTTTTTTCTTCTTTTTAAATATATATAATTTTTTTATAATATTATATTATTACCATTAACTCTATCCTCTATTTTTTAATATATAAAACTTTCCCCCTTTCATATATTTTAACCCCCTTTTTAACCCCCCCTTTTTTCCTTTCCCACTTCCCTAAGTCTTCAGCCCTTTCACTAAATTACTATTACTACCATTACATCCATATATTACTTAAAAACACATTTTCCATCCCCCCCAAAAAGGGAGGGACTTTTTTGTTGCTGTTGTCCTCTTTCCTTCCCAATATTTTTTACTTTATTTTTACCAGACATATAAAAAAACGCTGTAAAAATGCTTTTTTACAAAATGTTTTGAAAAATACATTGAATTTGGCATAGCTCACTGTTGCCACCTAGTGCCACATTTGTATACTACACTTTACAACACATTTAAAACCTTTTATTTGCAGCTGTGTAGCTGAGTCCCTGATGAAGCCCTGAGGCCAGGAGCGCTGCTCTTCTAGCTTAGCTCCAGCCCTCAACAGGAGGACTTATCTTACACAACACGGGATACACCACGGGAAAGGAGCGTTTGAGAAACTCGCCAAATCTTCCAGAGGGAGCAAGGGAGATTAACAGTGGCACAACTGGCACCCTGCACAGACTGAGGACACATTATTCCGTTGCCAGAGGAGGAACCATGTTGGTCTGCTGCTGCAGCAACGACAACCATTCTCTTTGTGTCATTATTGAGATCAAATGAGCACTTTCACCACACACTTTTCGGAACTAGCTAAAATAGTCTTGTTTAAGTAAGCCTACCCAGACATTGAGAATGTTGAGATAATTTTAATCTGTTTTAATATTTTAGCTTTTGTATGTTTTAAAGGATGGCTATGAATTTTTCTTGATTTTACTGTTTTGTCTTTGGTGAACTGTTTGAGGTTTTTTACACTCAAACGGTGCATAAATTTTATGAAAAAAATAAAATAAAAATCTAAGTCAATCTCTCTCACACTGGAGAGCCAGTGTGGTGTAGTGGTTAAGAGCGGTGGACTCATTATCTGGGGAACTGGGTTCGCGTCTCGGCTCCTCCACCTGCAGCTGCTGGGTGACCTTGGGCCAGTCACACTTCTCTGCAGTCTCTCAGCTCCACTCACCTCACAGAGTGTTTGTTGTGGAGGAGAAAGGGAAAGGAGAATGTGAGCCGCTTTGAGACCCCTTAAAGGGAGTGAAAGGCAGGATATCAAATCCAAACTCTTCTTCTTCTTCTTCTTCTTCTCTTTGGTAGAACATGTTCATGTTTCTAATTACCAGGTGATTATTTGGAGACTGGAATAACCAAAAACCTCATAATATATGCTCACCCTCACAACAGCTCTCTGGGACAAAAAGTGTCCCTAAGTGAGAAGCAGATGGGAAGCAGCTCATAGGAACCAGTGGAACAAACCTCTGAGGAAACTTGGTGAGAACCCTTTAAATTGATGGCATACAAAGAAACACAAATGTGTTCCTATTTGGCGATTCAGTTCTCCCATATGCACTGCCTGGGACGTTCTATGCCTGGCCCAGAGGCGACTCTTGTGTCTTTAGGAGTGAGGAGAAATTTGGCAGGTGCACTTGCCTCATCATTACTGCTCTGAGAGGTAAGGAACTAGATGTACTAATTCACTTCTTTACACACAGCCAGTAAAGAGCCACTTAGGAGCTGTCAGTCTTGAACTGAAACAGAAAGGGTCGTGACCACTTAACCTTTTTTTAAACCAGCACAGAACTTGTATGCGCAATTGGACATTTTTATTTTGCGACAGCTAATCCAAAATTGCTTCCTTGATTAAATTTGCACAGCTAGGGTTGGTAGGATGCACCCCAGAAAACAAGCATTTGTGCTTAAAACAGGAGCTAGAGTTGCCCGGGGGGCACCTGCATTGCCTTCGCCCATTCTCCACCTGAGTTGCGGTGCTGAGCAGGAGTTTGCTACAATTGCCTGGCTGAAGGTGGCATGATGGGAAGGACCTGCTGCTTTGTGCTTCCTGCCTTGTAGGCCCACTCCTGTATTTTAGTGGTCTATTGACAAGGTATAGTGAACCCTCTTATATGAAACAACGTGAGCTTACATCAACAAAATAAAAGAAAATCGGATAACATGCATAATTTTCATTTGGTAGCTCTCTATAGCAAACATGTCATGGAGTTCACTGTCACCCTGAAGCTAATTTTCTTAGTGCTGTGGAGAACATTAGTACACATGTGCACTGCGTCATCTTCAAAGGTCTCTTATGTCCCTCCTCTTGGAATGTCCACATTGTGTTTCTTGGCCGTGCTAGGGTGTGACAAAGAGGTATTTTATAAGGAATACAGAGTATATTCCATACCAGAAATGTTTTTACTTCAGACTTAAGGAGGTTGCATTTTAAAAGGGAACTGAGGAAAAACTTCTACAGCAGTGCTGTTCGCAGTCAACCTAACATTTTCAGTCATTTTTGCTCATAAGCTAAGTAGGTCATGCATAAAAAAAGCAAAAGTATTAAAGGTAAATCTCATTTAGCCAAGTGACCTAGAGCACACTGAAAACACCTAAGGTCTGTATTTTATTTTTATATGCACTGATGGGGAGCTAAGTAAGGTGCACAGAGTTTTGATGAAGAGAAGATACTAGAGCACTGATATGATGTTTCTATATTTATTATTCTTTATTATATTTTTAGTGATTTTTGCAATCAAGGGAAGCAAAAGTAAAATGACAAAGTCATAAAAATCAGATGCAAACAGCAAAAAAACTAAAATATTCATCTGACAATATGTTTAAAGAGAACAAGTCCTACCCTTGCTTTCAGTGACCCTCCAAATTAAGTTTGGACAAATAAGTTTACCCAGCAATGGTCCCAGATGTGCTTCCTGGAAAAGAGCCTTTCGCAGGTGGGGAGCCACCACTGAAACGTCCCATTCGCATGCCGCCATCTTTGACACTTCCTTCAGAGAGGGCACATGAAGGAGGAGCTCAGATGGCGGCTGCAGTGTCCAGGCTAGTTTATGTGGGCAGAGGCAGCCCTGGAGGCATTGGGGTCCTGAGACTTTATATGTCAAGGCTGTATCACGGGTTGTAGGTCAAACCAGCACTGCAAACTAAGTGATAGCCAGTGCAGTCGAGCCAGGATAGCTGCTAAATGTTCAGACTGTCCTGCCCTGGTCAGCCCTGCTGGCTGCTGAAATCTGCATCAGCTGCAGTTTCCAAACTGTCTCCAAATGCAGTAATCTAACCTAGAGGTGACCAAAGCACAGACAACAGAAGTGGAGCTATCCCTGTCCAAATTGGGGCATAGCTGGGCTGCTGGCCAAAGCTGATGGAAGGCACTCTGCGCCACGGAGGCCACCTGAGCCTCAAGCAACAGCAAGGAATCCAGAAGGACCCGCAAGATACATAGCTGCTCCTCAAGAGGGAATTTAATCCCATCCACAGTAGGGGACGCTCCACCCATCCAGTCTAGGGAGACACCCACAAACAGTGCCACAGTCTTATCTGGATTAATCTTCACTACATTTGTTTGATTTTGTTCTATTTCTGGGGAATATGAGTTTGGCAGGACACCTGGCCTTGTTGTAAGCTATTAAAGGTCATTTGAGAAGCACCTGGTGAAGTGTATATACATGGTTGGCTAATGGCACTCAGTAAATGCTGGAATGTGCATCGACTCCCCTGAGATTCACTCCGTAATGTCACAGCAGCCCCGATTTTACAAGCTGCCAAAGTCAGGCAATATGTTTTGCAGTAACCTGACTTTTAATTTCTCTTCCTTCTGTGGGGGGTAATTCCCTCTTCCCATAAATATGTAAGTTAGATTTCATAGAGTGGTCCCAGGGCAGCTGCGGAAGAAATCATCTAGCATAAATTCATGCTGAGGTATTCCTGTCACTGCAATAGTGAAGCGAGTTCAGAGCTGGAGTGTGGTGGGCCCACGATGAAGGACATTTGAATAGCACTTGGAACAACATGTGAGAGTTAGATATAGAATAAGTGTATGTGGCAGCTTCGTCACAAAGAAAATGCCTCAGAGCGATGGCATCTCCTGTCTTTTTCACCTTTGTACATGTTAAAGTTCTCAATAACCACAGAATGTCAAAAATATTGGTTTTTGATGGTAAAGTCAACTGCACTAAACACTAAGAGCATCTTAGGGCATTAACATCCAGAACATTAGCCTAACCCTAAAACAAGGGAGCATTCACAACATTTCCCCATAGTTAATAATACGTGTTGACCACAGTCATGGACAGCTGAGGAGTCAGGGATTAAATAGTGCACAAATTTGTGTAAAATGTGCACAAGCGTGTGAATGTGTTATTTTGTTCTACCCCTGCCCCAGTGTCCCATAGAATAGAGTCATAGGACTGGAATGGACCTTGGATGTCACCTAGTCCAAACCTCGGCTCTGTGCAGGATGCAACAATAGCATTTCTGCCTGATGGCGATCCAGCCTTATCTTGAGTTTCATACCTTGCTTCCTGACTGGGCAACATGTTGCAATCAAGTCTGACTCTTGTTTCTGCCCTACCTAACATTTTGAAGTTCAGCTTGCCAATGTGTTGATTTCTATAATAGAGAACCAAGGATTTCTGCAAGTCAGTTTCCAGACTACAGTTGTAACTTGACAGCTATGCTCCTTAAAAGTCTATGCCATTCCTCTACCAGAAAAGAAAGAAACATTTTGATCTAATTCAACTGCTCTTATGACAAATTTTCTGAAGTATGTAGGAAAGAAACAGACTTAGACCCAATAGGAAGTTTTTTAAAAATCTAACTGGTATGTGGGAGTGGAGTTTTTGGCAACAGCTGCAGCAGACGCCCCCTCCCAAATTAAAAATCAGGTGGCATCTATCCAAAAGTTCTTAAAGAACTCAAATGTGAAATTTCTGGTCCTCTAAGAAATTAGCAGCAGCAGCAGCAGCAGTAGTAGTATATTGTCCTTCATCTATAGATCACAGTTCACATCCATAGATCTCAGTTCACCCATAGTTCACATCATAATAATAAACATATGAACAGTAGCTTGTTTTTTTAAAGGGTCCAAGAAATTATACGTTAGTTGGCTTTGTATCTGTTCTGGGAAAACTGATGGAAAGCATGACTAAAAATAAAATTACCAAGCACAGAGAAAAGTCAGCATGGCTTCTGAAAAGGTAAGACCTGTCCAAATAAATTTTTTAAGAGTTATTTTAGTGTGTCATTAAGCACATGGTGATGCAAAACGTTGGATCAGATGGAACTAATGCTTTTTAATTTGTTCATGAATGAATGACCTGGAGTTAGTATTGAGCAGATGACACCAAATTATTCAGGTTGGTAAAAGACAAAAGGGGTTGCAACAAGTTGTGGTTCAATGTAAACAAGAGTAAAGTGTTACACATTGGGGCAAATATACTAAGTTTCTGGTGGTTACTGACCAAGAAAGAGATATTGGGGTCACAGTTTGATGAAAATGTTGCATTGGTGTGCAACTGTTATGAAAAGGGTGAATTTAATGGTAGGGATAGAAAATGAAACTGTCTGTATCACAATGCCTTCATATCATAAATCAAAATGCTTATAAATGTGGCTATGTGTAGAATATTGTGTATATTTCTGGTAACCACAACTCAAAAAGGGCATTGTTGGCATCTCTCTTTCTTTTTTTGGTGGCTCTTAAAAGAGTCTTTGGGGTCGCGTGCCGAGGGCAAGCAGTGGGTCCAGGGAGCCTCTTCTTCTTGGGCTTGGCCACTTTGGCCTTGACTGCCTTGGCCTTGGCCACCGTCTGTCTTGAGAGACAATGGAGTGCATCTCCAGGGGTGAAGCAAAACCGCTGCATTAGCAGCACCAAAGTGACCTCTCCTGGGGCACAAGCCTGGGCAGTGTGTCTG